CGCGCGCCCTCTTAGAGCACCCTGGGTGTTCGCGTGCTCGCCGCTCTCGCTGGGCCTTTTTGCACAGACCTAGAAATTGGGGGGACCCTGTTGTAGCTTTCAAGGAGTTTGCAGTCTAGCAGGAGAAACAGTACCCAGCGTTTCGGGGCCCCGGAGGGTTATTGAAGTCGACTGGATGGTCAGGAAAGGGTTTTTCAGGAGGGGGGCCCCTTGAATGGGTTTTGAGGAGTGAGTAGGAGTTAACCCCCTGGAGAAGGGAGTGAAAGTCTGCAGGGTGTTCCAAACAGCGTAAAGAACGGTTAGAACTTTATGTGAAAGCGAGAGCTTTGTTTTAGGTTGTGTGGGAGATTTGAGGGAAAAAAACACACAACAAAAACTAGAAAGGTCAGCCTGGCCACACGAGGAGGAAGGGACAGGGGTAGGGGAGAGGATCTGAGCGTCAAGCCGAGTTGGATTCCTCTTTGCAGGGGGGGAGCCACTAAAATATTTTGAGATGCACCCTGTAGTCCTTTATCTGGGTAGTATCGATTGAGGGAGGGGACAGTGTTTGGAAAGAAGTCTTGTTTCCCATGGATCAGTTTTCCACCATCCAGAGTGGATTTGCTAAATCCCATCATAACTGCTAAAAATCCTTAAGTGGCTTAATGTAGGTCGTTAGGACAGAGCTCGAGTGTCTCACAAGTCTGTGGTCTTGTCTCTCAGCCTTTCACTCTCCTTGTTGCCTTTCATCATCGGAAATCTTTGTTAGCCAAACTGAACTCCTCACAGCGNACTGCTAAAAATCCTTAAGTGGCTTAATGTAGGTCGTTAGGACAGAGCTCAGCGTCTCACAAGTCTGTGGTCTTGTCTCTCAGCCTTTCACTCTCCTTGTAGCCTTTCATCATCGGAAATCTTTGTTAGCCAAACTGAACTCCTCACAGCCTTTGTAAATGCCCTCCCCCCACTCCCTCTAGCACACTTTCTTTCTCCCTCTTCTAACTTATATTCATATTTTGGCTTTCAGTTTAAACATTTTGGGGGGAATTCCAGGCTTATTGTGTAGAGTGAGGTATTTCCATGACACTAAATTTACTTCATACATTTTTATTGCAATTACTCATTTAATTGTGGTCCGATGAACTCTAAGCTCTGTGAGGGTGCAGACCACTCTACTTTCCTGCTGTATCTGGTGCCTGGCTCTTGGCATGTGCTTTCAAAATATTTGTTGAAATAACATGTGGATGATGAAGTGAGTGAGGGAATGAGCGAAAGGAAGGTCAATTAGGAGAAATAGAGCAGGGACAAAAACATTTGTGGTAGAGATGATGAGGAAGGGACAAATAAGGTAGATATTTCAGGGAAAGAATAAATCCTGGTGTCTGATTGACTGTGATACAAGAAGGAAGAGAAGGTGATGCTAAGGTTTTAAACTGGAGCAACTAGAAGGATGGGAATTCTGTAGGTTGAGCTGAATTCAGCAGACATTTACTGAGCAAGTCACTCATATCAAAAACTAGAGGCTGGCAGTGAGGGGGGCGTGGGGAATAAGTTGTATTTTGACTCTTGTATTGAGCTATTTGGGAGGTGTGCACAGAAGGCGGTTGTAAATGAACATTTGATGTTTTAAGGAAAGGTGTAAATTCTTGATTTGTGACTTTTCATTTCACAGTTTGTTTGTGTGCCCGATGCATTCATAACTCTGCTGAAGGGAGTGGGTGAGATCAGTTAGGGAAGATGTGAACTCCCCCTTGGTGATCTAGAAACTAAGCTCCATGGGGGCTGGCACCATATTAGACTTGTTTACTTTTGTATCTTCAGTGTCTAGCCAGTATCTGGTATGTGGTAGACTCACAAAAACATTTACAGGTTGAAGAGAGATGGGCTCCAGTGGGAAGTTAAGAGGACTGGGATAGCACGGCTGGGCGTGGCTCAGCGGTTGAGCATCGACCTAGGATCCAGGTGATCGGGGTTCGATTCCCGGGTTGCGGGCTGCAGCCGATCAATGACTCTCTCATTATTGATGTTTCTATCTCTCCCGCTCCTTTCCTCTCTCTGAAATCAATAAAGATATATATATATTTTTTAAAAAAAAGAGGACTGGGATAGAACTGGGTGAAGATCTTGATTATGTGGTATGTGAGGAGGGGCCAACAGAGCCTGCAAAGAAATGGAGAAAATAGGAGAGAAACCAGGAGAAAGTGTGGAAGCCAAGGAAGGGAAGACTTCCACAAGTGGGAGTCTGTAGAGCTGGAAAGGCCTGGGAAATAAGAAGGGACCAATTTTCAGTAATTAGGAGGCTATTGGTATTTTAGATTTTCTAGGCTGTGCTAATTATTTGACTCCTTAGCACTGTAAAACATCAGAGTATCTCCACAGTCTCACATGTCAGCATGTAAACTATAGCTCTTTTATGATACCTGGTTTCAGTAAGTGGCACAAAACCCCTTTGTTAGAAGACCACAGAGTCTGATCTTTGGTTAAGAAAATGTGGTTGCCATTTATTAGTGATGTTCAAGAGGACACTTTTCAGTGCAAATATATGGTCCCTGTGTTGCAAAAGTTTGAAGTGTAACTGGGGCCTAGTAAATAGAAGTGCTGAAATATGCCTCTCTTTCATGAAGGTTGGTGAGAGGAAATCCAGAGGGTGGACAGCAGCTTGGTTACACACACCTTTGTGATTTTACCATACGCAGGCTGGAATTTAGAGTTGGCCAGTTTATTAGTTTCCTATGCTATATAACAAATGACCACAAACTTAGTGGCTTAAAACAGTATTTATTTTTTAAATATGTTTTTATTGACTTTAGAGGGAAGAAGGGAGAGGGAGAGATAGAAACATTGATGAGAGAGAAACATTGATTGTCTGCCTCCTGCACACCCCTCACCAGGGATCGATCCCTCAACCTGGGAATGTGCCCTGACCAGGAATGGTGCACAGGAGGACACCCAACTAACTGGGCCACACACACCAGGCAACAGTATTCATTTATTATCACACAACTTCTGTGGGTCAGGAGTTTGGACCTGGATTAACTGGAGACTGTGTCAGGTGTCACACAGTTGTGATTAAAGTGTTGGTGGTCTGCATTCTCCTCTGGAAGCTCAAATTGGGAAAAACCTGCTGCCAGGTTCATGTCCCTCAGGTTGTTGGCAGAATTCATTTCCCTGTGGCTGTATGACCCAGGGGTCTTGGCTTCTTACTGACTTTGTGCTGGAAGCTGCCCACAGTTCTTTGAGTTTCCTGCCACGTGGCCCTTTTCATAGGCAGTCACAACATGGCAGTTTGAGTTTTCAAGGCCAGCAGGAAAGAATCTTTTGCTCTTTTTCTTAAGACAGAGTATGTAATACATATGGGAATTCCAGTTTCTCTACATTCTTGCCAATGCTTGTTATTTCCATCTTTTTGGAAACCATTTTATAACCATTCTACTGGGTGTGAGGTCTCGTTATGGTTCTGATTTCCATTTTCCTAATGACTAACTATGTTGAGCATCTTTTCACATGCATAGTGACCATTTGAAATATCATTTTTGGAGAAATGTCTATTCAGATCCCTTAGCCATTTAAAAAATGGATTATTTATGTTTTTATTGTTGAGTTTTAAGAGTTCTTTATATATTCTGGGTACATGTTCTTTTGGTTGTCTTTTCACTCCCTTGATGATGTCCTTTGAAGCACAAAAGTGTTTGATTTTTTAAAAATGTTTTTATTGACTTCAGAGAGAGGGAGACATAGAAACATCAATAATGAGTCATTGATTGGCTTCCTCCTGCATGCCCCCTACTGAGGATTGAGCCCTTAACCTGGCATGTACCTTGACCAGAAATAGAACTGTGACCTCCTGGTTCATAGGTCCATGCTCAATCACTGAGCCACGCCAGGCAGGCCAAAAATTTTTAATTTTGATGTAGTCCAATTTATTTTTTTCTTGGTTGCTTGTGCTTTTAGTGTCAAATCTAAGAAACCATCCTGTAACCCAAGGTTCATGAAGATGTGCACTTACGTTTTCTTCTAGGTGTTCTGTACTTTTAGCTCTGACATTTAAGTCTGTGGTGCATTTAAGTAATTTTTATATATGTTGTGAGGTATGAATCCTACTTCATTTTGTTTTCATAAAGATATCCAGTTGTTCCAGCACTGTTTATTAAAAAGACTGCTCTTTCCCCAGTGGATTGTTTCTTGGCACCCTTGTTGAATATAAACTGATAATAAATGTTTTATGGGTTTGTTTGGACTTCTGTTTCATTCAGTATCTTTTTAAATGGTATCTTTTTAAATGGTATTTATGGCTCTGGCACTTATCATGTCACCTTCATAGTTGGTTAATTCTTTGTCCCTTAGTTTTCTCATCTTTAAAATGAGTGATAAATAGTAAATACTTCATGGGATTATTGTGGGAAGAGCTTAGAACAGTACCTATTTGTAGAAAGCACTCAATATGTGTTAGCTCTTGCCAGCATTACTGCCATCACTGTCAACATGATCACCATCATCACCATCATCACTAGCGCCATCATAAAACTTAAATGTTATTTTTTAAGTTGTATGTGATTTACCTCTTTTGCTGGATTGTAAATGCTGAAATTAGATACCATGTTCAAAGAGTGAATGTGATTGATAAGAGTGAGATAGGACAGAGAGCTAAGAGGACTGAAGGCAAACTCTTGAGAAATACTTGCGTTTAGTTATCTTTATTACAGTGGACTAAGTGATTTTAAAAAAATGTACTTAAGGAAAATACTAGAGTCTTTGTTTTAGGATAGTTTTGGAGTAATGAGTCAGGTGGGAAGTTATGTAATTATTTAGGTTTATAAAGAAGTTCTAGAATAGGAGCCAAGTGTATGTGTTATATATAAATCCTAGTGTTCAGGAACTATGAGTCTTTTAAAAATTTTGTATAATGTTTAGTCCAGTGCCCTNCAAGTGTATGTGTTATATATAAATCCTAGTGTTCAGGAACTATGAGTCTTAAAAATTTTGTATAATGTTTAGTCCAGTGCTGCNGTGTTCAGGAACTATGAGTCTTTTAAAAATTTTGTATAATGTTTAGTCCAGTGCCCTTAGCACTTGCTATTTTAAGAGTGCTGAACAAATGTTGGCCATTTCCAAATTCTACTTTAGTAATACCCTCATTTAGTATTATGGAGAAAATATACTAGAAATGGTATCAGAACTCATTTGTTCTCTAAAATTTCACCACCTTTATTTACAGTAAGTACACATGTAACCAATAGTGAGCGTTAGAGTGCTTGAAAAAGAACGCCCTCTCTCTTTTGCCCCTTCCTCTTGCATTCATACTGTTAGCATGTGACTGACATTTTCTATTTTAACTGTGAATTTATGTAACTGATGACAACCCTTATGACTACTGTCCTAGCCCTCTACTTTAGGTGATAATATATGCATTCCTACAGTTTTTTATTAAGCACATATACATAATTTATTACCTTGAAACCCCTTTTATCTTAGTTCTCAGTTAACTATCACAATTTTCTATTAATTGTGAAGTGAAAGAACCGAGTATTTTGGGAGTTTGTTCCTTTCATTATGCTTAAAGTTTTCTTCTGATTTTTTAAAACTTATTTTCCTAGATCTGTTTTCCTCTTTCTGGTGATGCCTAATGACTAGTTTTCTTATATTTTAAAATTTCGATGTGATTCTTACTCCTAGATGTCGTTTGTCAGAGTGAACCGTTACAGCCCCCGAGGAGGAGGAAGGAAAGCACTGAAAGTCAAGAAGAAAGCGGCAGTGAGGCAAGACTGGGATGTAAGTGTGGGTGGGAGGAGCAGGAGCCCGTGTGCTGAGGCCCCTGCCGCTCTGAACTGCGCTCCTAACAGGGTGGGCTGGGTTTCCCGGCGTGGTGCATCCTCGGTCTCAGAGGGAAGAGCAGAATCCTTTAGGGAGGTTTCGGTTGTTTTTTTTTTTAAAGAATGCAGGAGTCGAGGCTATACCCTCTACTTCTTTTGAAGAACTGGAATCTTAAGGAGTTGGCGAGTGTGTTTTTACAAGGTTCCCCCACCTCCACTTAAAGAATTCACTCTTTTAAGGCCACTCTAGCTAACCTGTGTCACTAACGTCTGAATTTTTTGGGTCGGTTTTTAGATTTCCCCATAGCAACCAGTGATGCCGTAATCACACGAGTGGCATTTTTGGCTGAAAAAGTGGGTGATCCGTGCTCTCTTATGCCTCCAATTGTTTGTTGCTCACCTCCTGAGGTGGGTCACTTGCAGTACAAAGGTTCTCTTAAGATAAAAGACAAGTTTCAAGTACCTGGGACATGATCCATGGTTCTTACCCTGAATACTGGCTGGTGTTACCATGGGGATTTTTATCTTTTGCAGCCTGGTACTTGGATTTGGACCGTGAGACTTCAGGTGCCTTTGCTTTCTGTAGTGGAGAGTAGCTAGTCAGGGACTAGTTTGGAACTCAGGTTCTTTTAGACTAGGCATCTTCTGGGTTGTGACCAACCATCTTAGCCAGTTATCCTGGGCAAACTGACAGCCTTTGGAAGTGGGACAGAGGGATCTCTGTGTTTACATTGCTTTGTTGCCATCTGGTTGGCTGTAAAATACTTTTTATAAGGGTGTGACTCTAAGGTAATGAAACTGATGAGAAGGGGGGAAAAAGCATACTTTAACATAAATATTGTCCTCTTTGGGGTGGTTACTTTGAAAAGTTCAATTTTTATTTTGATATGCTGCTATTGCTAAAAACATAATTGAAACCCATCATTTGAAATTGCATCAGAACCTTTCTCATTTGCTGTTTATTATCTCCAGTGCTGGAAAAATACGTTTTTTGAAGGTAGACTGAACTTGAAAGTAGTTATAAGTCATTTGGAGTAAATGTTAAATGAAGGAGGAGAGATAAATTGAATAAACGGTTTTGATAAAAACAGATGTTTTTTGAAATGCCTTAGAGATTAGATTTAAAGGCAGTTTTAGAAGAAAATTGTTTTAAACAGCAGTAGTATTAATGAAATTATATTTTCTCCCATGAGTACTAATTCCAAGCATATCACTTACTTATGTGCCTGAATTCTATTATGATTATTAAAAATAATTTTTATGATTTTTTTAAAAAAATCTTCACCCAAGGATATTTTTTTCATTGCTTTTCAGAGAGAGTGGGAGGGAGGAGGGGAGAGAAACACTGATATGAGAGAGACACATCAACTGGTTGCCTCACATGCACCCCAACTGGGGCGAATTGAACCTGGGACCCCTCAGTCTGCAACTCTAACCACTAAGCCGAACTGGCTAGGGCAATTTTTATGATCTTATAGTTGTATCTTGTACTTTTCTAAGTCAATATGAAAGGAATAATAGTTTTAGCATAGAAAAACCTTGAGCTAAATATAAACTACAGCTGAAAAGTTAAGCCTTTGAATACATTAACAGCTACGTCACGAGACTCCGTTGTCTCTATGTCTCTTAGGAGTAAAACTCTTAACTTGTTGGTTTCCTGCCTTGCCAAGTCTGTGTAACAAGATGCTGAAGCCACGTTGGAAAGGCCAGATTGCAGGACTGCTGTTCAGAGCTGTCCAGGCTGTGCACTGCGCAGTTCCACGGGGGTGCTGTGTGCATGGGCTAGGGTGTTAAGTTCCTCCCCGAGCTGAGCCCTGCCATATTGGTTTTGTGCCTTTTTACTTAAGTGACTATTTTCACATTTTATGAAATTATGCAAAGTTCGTCTTTTATTATGATAGATTCCATGCTTGTGGTATTTGCATGGTCACAAATTGAACCTCTCTATGGAGATCACAGTTTATCTTTCAGGAATTTTTACAAGTGCCTCATTCTGTGAAATACAGTTTGAAAACTACAGCTTTAGCTTATACTTATTTGAATTATATACTACCCTGTTTTATTTATTATTTTAGTATAATGTATACCTGCTTGGTGAGTTTAGTCATCATTTTCTGTAAGACACTTGATAGTCTGTTACTTTCTACAAAACACCTAAAAGTTATCCATATTAATATTTAAGCTGAGAATACTGGTTCCTGGAAAGAAAGACTTTTTGGTCCCAGGAATTTGAATTTGTTTTCAGCCATTAAAATCCAGTACATACTCACATCTAAAGACATACAAACGAACAGTATCTATTAATAGGTATGCTATAACTTTCTGAAGAATGCGAAAAAAAAATATGATAAGGAGCTTGAATAACAAAACTAGCATTTTATTTAAATTTAAAATAAAAATTTTATCTTGCTAAAATGTGATGATGAAACCCCTTGAATCTTTGAAGAAAGGTTTCTTGGGGAGTAGCATGCTTAATTAAATACAGTCTTTTAACTGAGATCCATGTGGCATGTAAAAGGAAAAAAGGAAGATCAATGTCATAAAAAATAAACTAAAACTGATTTCAAATAGTTTTTTANGAGATCCATGTGGCATGTAAAAGGAAAAAAGGAAGATCAATGTCATAAAAAATAAACTAAAACTGACCTAATCTAAAGATAATTTTTCCTGTAAGAAAATTGCCCAAAGACAGTGAATAAACTTTAAAATCCTATTTTTAAAAATTCAGTATTTTGTAAGAAACCTTTTATTTTCTTTAAAGAAAGTTCATCTTTTTTTGCAGAATACTGTGAATGATCTAACAGTTCATCGGGCAACTCCTGAAGATCTGGTAAGTTTAATATCAAAAGTTAAGATTTGTTCAGTGTTTTATTTGATATTTAATTTCTAACCTTCAGAATGGAAGCCAGAGGTACTTCCTGGAAGTTGTAATATTTAATCTTGCTTATGTCTATATAAAATCAAAAAGCTTATCTTCTTGACTTCCTGATTTTACCTAAGAATATCAATTCGCATGTATTAGAATTTCACTAGATAGGTTTGATTTATGGTTCAAATTTCTCTAGTCCAGTATTGCCCTGTATACATCTATCATCTTTTCCCATCTATAAATATCTTCAGCATTATTTACTATTTCATGTACAAACATACTGGTCTCGTCAGTGCAGTAATTTATCCCTCGAACAGGCCATGTATATTTCCATATTTGAGCCCCAATTCTATTTTCCTCACTTGGAACAGTTTCCCTACTTTTTCTCTACCTGTCCAAATCTTACTTTGCTTCTTTACTCTAATTCAAGTCTCACTTTTTAAAAGTTTCTACTATATATATGTATATAGTTTTAGAAAAATAAACAGCTTTATTGAGATATAATTCACATTCCATAAAATCCAACCTCTTAAAATATATAGTTTATTGATTTTATAGTATATTCATACAGTTATGCAACCATTACTACTTTTTGAAGAAAAAATTTATCTTTACTGTTGAAAGTATTACAGATATCCCCCATTCACCCCCTTTCCTCCTTCCCCCCTCCC